TGAATAACTCAGATTTGATGAATTAAATGCCTATTATTATTGTTAATCTATCATTTTGATGCCTGACTTTGTGCACTCATAAATAAATAATGGTTTATGTTCTATGTTTTATCCAACTGTACCCCATCTAAGTCTTCCCCATGGCTCGTATGTGTACTTTATTTCCTGCGACAGCTAAAATTAGTAGCTTTCTTGAATATTCATTTTGTAAAGGTAGCTCACCTGAGGAAAAAGGTTGGAGACCCCTGATTTATAGAGTATATAAGAGTAGTAGAAATGCAAATGTTTCCTTTTTAAATGTCTTGACAAGATCTTAGATGAATCATTATAGTCAGAACAGAGAGAATTCAGATTTAAAAGTCCGAGTCAAGTCCCAAGTCAGTGACCTTCAAGTCCAAGTTGAGTCCCTTAGTCCATTTTATCAAGTCAAGTCTCAAGTCCTAAAAATAGTCTGACTTGAGTCCAAGTCAAGACTTGCAAGTCCCCACCTCTGACTAAAATACAAACTAAAATATAGCAACTGCAACAAAAAAGCAAGGTTGAAATGATGGTAATGAGAAAAGGAATTTTTGCCCAAAGAAACAAGTTATACCCAAAACAATGTACAAATAATTTCTCATTCTAACTTTGGTAATAGACTTTTGCCTGTGGACAAACAGGTGAAAGTTTTTTATTTACAGTTTCTCTGTACCATGTGACCAGCTACATTTCCACCTCGCTCATCAACCTGTAATGACATGGAGGCAGTATAGGTGCATGGGTGATTATTGAGAGATGCCATTGGTTTGTGATTGACAGCTGTGTCCTGACTGTGCATCTCTGTATGTAGGGCTCCTGTGTGCCGCTGATACCGGGCTGTGTCTAATATGCAACCGATTGACTTCCTGTTGCCGCTTGCAGGTAGAAGAGGGGATTTAAACTATTTTAGCTCCCAAGATCTGCACACCTCCCCTGGGCAGCTCACCCCGCGCCTTAAATATTAATGGTAAATGGAGGGGGTAGAATGGCTGACAGCTTAATCATGGCAGTAGCTCTCTCTCTCCCTCAATCTTTTCTCAGCTTCTCCTTGCCTCTCTCTCTCATCTTTCTCCCCTCACCTCTCTCTTTCCTCCCTTCTCTTGCCTCACCTCTCTCTCCGCCATCTCTCTCAATCTCTCTTTCTCTCTCTCAGTGCTGTGGGCGGCTGTCACACGACCTACATGATGTAATCGCCTCTATAGTCCTGATACGGCCACTGGGGGGCTGGGGGACAGATAGAGAGGGACAGACAGGGGAGAGGTCCTCGGGGAGCAGAGGTAGAGGATCATTTAGAGTGACTATGGACTGAATAGGTGTGAAGTCAGATATAGTCACTCAAACTGAAGACTATGGCCCCCAGCAAGACTCATTTTCACCTCTCACACAAATGTCACTGGTTAGACTTAAGAGCACTTTTCAGCAGTGAAACGACTGCAATTGAATAGATGCAAAAACAGGTGCAAAGAATGCCATACTGAGGAACATTCCAGGCCAAAAAATATCTAAATAGAGAAAAACAGATTTGGATGAAGACAGAGTGTGCCTGCAGCCAGGTATTTCAGAATCACATTAAAGGGCCCATCTCATGCAAAATAACTCTTTTCACATTGTATCTTATGCACATATACAAGCACAATTTGAGTTTTGGAACATCCATTACACAATAGTTATGAAATCTGATTTGTGGGAGGCAGTCACAGACCAGGAGCTTTGAAAGACCAGCGATTGCTCATCCCCCCACCCATCCTGAGAAAGCACAGGCTCCACCCTCCAAATGTGACATAGGCTCTGAGTGAGCCCTTCCTCTGTCCATCTCAGGGAGGGAGGGGGAGACAGGTGTGCACCCTGATAGCAGTAGGAATAAACTTTTATTCATCATGGCGATACAGCGCGTTCAGCCTTATCAGACTTGGAGGTGCACAAAGCGCAAGCACCACGTCGGCATCAGCTGAACATTACTGATTGGTAAAGTATTAATAAACACTAGTAGATAAACTTATTATATCATGTACACTGCAGTGTATAACAATTAGCTTATGCTGTTGCTTTTGTTTAGGTGTTCATGTGGGAATTGTCAGCCGATGAAGGGTGGAGGCGGGGTGGAGTTTGGGCGGAGGCAGTGGAGCGGAGGATGGGGACGGGTGTGAAGCGCCTTCTGCTATGTCAAACGCATCATAGGTGTAGCTGGCTGCGTCATCGTTGTAGCAGGCTTTAGTTCGCTGTCACGTGGGAGGGTGGCAGAAATACGCTGCAATTTGTAAAAGAAAACACCGACTCAATCTAAAAACCACTTCGGTGACATATACAAGGCCCACACATCACTCTTTCAGAAAGCTCTGAAAAGTTGATTTTGCATGAGATGGGCCCTTTAACAGGTTTATTAATTGTCACTGTTGAGAAGAAGGGAGAGCCCCACATAGGGTTACTTTGAGCTTTTTGCACATGTTTTTCAATGTGTTTTTAACTACAAATGGCAAATAAACTAACCTAACATAGACAATAATCCTAATCTTAATGGATATGGAGTAATAGGAAATTTTAGTACTGCCTTGTCCTCCAAAATCATTTCATTTATGGTTAACAGCAGTCATAAAGAAAATAAATATATGTTAAACTAAATAATCTAAAATCATACAATACTACAAACACACTGCGTCGCACTGAAGTGGAACTTTGTCTCCTGAATATTGGTAGAGTTAAATATTTGGTAATGAGATTTATGAGTGACTATGGGTAGAACCATTGATCAAACAATAATGAAACTCATGAGTAATTTTCTAATCAATATAATCTTGGCCCTGATCATTACAGTCATTTTGATAAGACTAGATACAAGCTTCTTTTTGAAAATGTAATGTGCATTTAATGGAGCTATTGATTGAAGTTGATAACCTATTTTGCTGCCCATTCTATTCCTGTAGCGCATTGCATTAGTGTAGTATAGTGTATTTTAGGACATTTCGAAATATTGTATACTATATAACTGCCATTGTATCATCTGCAGTATATATATAGGACATAATAATAGGCTATCTATCTATCTATCTATCTATCTATCTAGTAAAGCACAAAACCATCCTAAAATAAACCCTAGCCTCAAAACGCAGTGGCTCAAAATATCAAGAAGAATCAATGTTTACGAGTCTTACAAACCAAACAAAAATACAAGTGCCAGTGATACCATCTTTGCAGATTATGGTAATTAACATTCAGAAAGTGCAGCCCACGTCATGCTGCAGTAAATCTTGAAATCCACTGCCATCTGAAATGTCAGCCTAAGGTTAAATAATAGAGTGATTCTTCTCAGTGACACAGACAGCACAGACATTGACAAGGGAAGATGGAACATTATAAAGACACACTCCTCTGAGACGTGAGCTCATTATCTCTCTTCAAGTAACTGGATTTCCCAAGTGGATCTAAAACATGCATATGAATATTCTATGATAAAGGCTAAATATAGTGTGGTGATGTGTCCATGGGGATTCTATAGGGGCCAAAAAGAGAGACTGTTTTTGATTGGAAAAGTATACAGTATTGGTTTGATGTACATAAACAAACAATACATGCATCACAAATTTCGGACTTCTGGTCATTGCGCAATGCATACTGGGAAGGATTCTCCGAAAAACGTGAGCATCAGACTGCCATGTTTGTTTTCTCAGTGGGATGCGTCTATTGTCAAAGCCAATCTTTTCAAGTCTTTTGAACCATATCGCTTTTGTTTCTGGTTCTGATATTGTCATATTTTAGTTATGGGATTCAGACATCGTAATTGTGTGGTTGTTGAATGTCCCAGCAGTGGAAAACGGCTCGAGAAACGGGTTTCGGAAGTTTGCGAACTCCATAACTGCAGATCGGTGTGACTGCAAACCTCCATGTTTCCCTTCCCAATGGAATTGAAAAATAGGGAAAGGTGAAGACGATGGGCAGTATTGATACACAAGAAGCAAAGCAAAATCCCGATCCCTCGCTGAACCTTGCTTACGAATTTAAAAAGTCAGTGCCAAAGCGAAATACAACAGCTGTTCGCCAAGAAACACCTTCCACCACAAAGCGATCAAGATGTGATGTTGCTGTAAAATCGAACAAGAAAGTGCGAGCTCAGCCTGTTTGTCTTCTGTTCCTCTCGCTTAACAAATGGGATTTTGCTTTGATGGCACTCCACAGACAAAATGTTGGATGCAAACTTGGGATGTTTTCTTAGGCAGCCAAAGGTTACCTTTTTGGTCCTTCCTGTAGATCAATACTGCCCATCGCCTTCACTTTTCGCTATTTTTCAATTCCATTGGGAAGAGAAACAGCCTGAACGAAGGTTTGCAGTCACACAGATCTGATTCCCTTTTGCATTTACGGAGTTCTCAAACTTCCGAAGCCCATTTCTCAAGGTGTTTTCCACTGTTGGGACATTCAACAACCACACAATTATGATGTCTGAATCCCTTAACTAAAATATGACAATATCAGAACCAGAAACAAAAGCGATATGGTTCAAAAGACTTGAAAAGATCGGCTTTGACAATAGACACATTCCATTGGGAAAACAAACATGGCGGTTTGATGCTCACTTTTTCAGAAAATCCTTCCCAGTATGCATTGTGTGATTACTGGAAGGCTGAAATTTGTGATGCAAGTATTAAGCAGTATGATATTGCTCATAGACATTTTAAACTATGGTGGCTCTCACTATACAGATCAAAACCTGTCTAAAAGTAAAACCAAGGTATTTTTTCCATATTATGTATTTTCCGTATTGATACTTCAATACCAGTTTTAGCTGCAGTTAGTAAAAGTGTAAAATCACAGATGCTAATTAGTACTCTTACACCCTTACACATTTATGCAAAGTTGTGAATGGTGTAAGGATTGTGCAAGCTCCGATATTTTACAGAAATATATGCGTATAAATCAGATATTATCTCTTACCAGTACAGTATAGCTACAAATGCCTATTATGTGGGTTTTCATGAATGTAAACATACCCCATTGATAGGATAGGTCTTCCATCCCAGCTCTCCAAGCACAGACGTGGTATCCAACAGCACCACTGGAAAAAGCAGAGACAGATACAGCTATTAGCAACATGAGCAAAACAAAAGCCCCACGTCGTCTACTAATATTTTAATACCAGTCATAAGCACGTTCATTTAAACATTTGAGTATTAATAGAATTTGCGAGTTACATGAATATTTATGAGTATACAACAGGGAACGGTCTAGATTGGCATTTGTGACACAATTTGGAGTTGATGGATTAGAGTCAGATTGTTGTCAGCAGTCCATTCCCTTCTATGTGTCTCCTCTAGCTGCTGCTTTGAACCTTTCTTTTGCTGCTGGCTCAGGACTTAAACTATTTGTACTGCACAAAATGTTTCATTATGCCGACTATTAACCAGTGAGCTCTTGTGTTTATGAATTTGAATTTATTACACCTGCGCTGTATCCCCTCCATTGTATTCAATTATATCGGGCTTGCAGTGATTTATTCTCACCTTGCAGCCAGTATTAAAAAACATTGCATTTCGACTGGTGAAAATATTGCCATCCTTGACAGTATTTTGTCTTGGTCTCAAGGACAGAGGATTTAATAATTCAGGAGGAAAGTCTGCCGGTGACAAGTGATTTACAATGAACCAGAGTCGACACGGCTTTCCTGGAATTACCTTTGAGTTCATGCCAACATAACACTGTTAAATAAAGATGGGAAAACAAATTGGGGATTGTGCAATGGCAATAGACAGCGAGTGTTAAAGTATTAAAAACAAAATAATCTCTTGTCAAAAAATCGACATTCTCTTCTTAAGGCTAACTTCATGGAGTCAAGTTCAGTTCAATTTCAATACAAATAAATAGTCCTGATTTTGACCTTTATTCTGAACTTTACTGACAAGCATGGAAACAAACAGCTCCACTAGATTCACAAGATATTTTGGTTTCAGATTGTTATCAAGGGAGATGGAGCAGCAATTCCACACACACATTTCAACATATAGGCCTACCTTTGTTTCTTTTACTCCCAGGATCACATTCTATTGTTTGGTTCATCTGTCTCATTTCACTGCAAAACAAATCTGCATACAGTACAACCGAAGTAACCTTGAATTTTGAACCTTTGAACTTTTCTGGTGACTGATTTCTCCACGGAGATGTTAATGATGCTCTGCCTGAAATGTTTCATAGTGTTTCTTCAATTTCATGTGCATTCTGGGTGGGATTACTATGGACTAGGGGTGTAACTATAACCAAAATACCGTTATATTGTATCGCCAAAAATCTCAGTAATATCATGGACCATGATAATATATCAAATCACAAGTTTCTTTGTTTAAATTCATTGCAGCAATAGCTTAAAAAAAGAGGGAAACCTAACCCTAACCATGATACTTTGCTCCATTTTGATGAAAACTACATGAAGAAATAACAGTTCTAAGCACTTTTACATCTTATTCTTTCTCTTGTCAAGGCATTTTAAGAGGTAAAAGTAGCACATTCACAATTTTGTTAGCCTCCACAAACTATCACATTAAATACCGTACCGTGAGACGTATATTGTGAAAATCCGTGAGATTTGGATATCATTACATTCCCACTATGAAGATAAATAGGTTAAAGGCATAAACTGTATAAACCCATAGTGTTCAGTCTCCAGTCAAAAGAAGCTCAACAAGCCTAGAAGTTATGTGGTGAATTTGGAGATGAGTTCCATATTAGGAATAGAAACAGGAATCTACATGGAAAGGATCATATAGATGACTAATGTGAACATTTTAAGACCAAAATGAGGAGCCTGACAGCAGCAGTTAGATAGAAGGGGACAACATTATTTCAATACAAAGTGATGTGGGGCTGAAGTCGGCGGCGTGCCCATGCTCACTTTTTTATTTGGATTGCGGCGGCTAGCCATTTAGCTATGTAACTATTAGGGATGGGCATTCGATGAAATTTTCTTAATCGATCGTTGGAAGAATTAACGATCGATTATCGATTAATCATTAACGTTTTTATATTAAAATGATCATCATTATTATTACTATTTGCACTACTAATCTGCATAAATAAATTCAACTTTACGACATATAAACCATAACGACTCTAGAGCCACATCAATCCGTTTGACATTATAATGTGTTTAATTCAGTTTTGCGCAACTCTCATAGAAACGAAACTTAAAACCGCATCGCTAATTTGCATAAACTCAGCGAAGATAAAACTACAGCTCTTGTGTCGCTGATGCGGTCAGTTTCGGATTAAAAGACATGATTCAGTGGAATACAGGTTAGTGTCACCATATGTGCGTTTGTCAAAACCAGGACACCGTACGGGGGGGACTCATCATCGACATTGCGCGACTCTCACCTGGTAAAGCTTTTTCCCACTGGACATCGAAATATATGTTCCTACTTTGTACACTGTGCACATGGCCTCCCACTTGTCCCGAACGTAACGGAAAGCCTGGAATTTCTTGTACAAATCATCGTTAAATACACATGTGTGCTTCAGCACGCTGCAGACTGACCGAATGTTTGTGTTTGCTCGCTCCTTCTGAGTGCAGAGAGACACATGTATGGACCCTGTTTGGTCACGCTACCCACAGCAACCTACATTCGGTTTGTCGATTAAAATTAACGTAATCGATGAAATTCTTAATGATCAATTATCGATTAATCGATTAATCATGCCCATCCCTAGTCCCTATATATACACTGTACATGGTATGGTTAAAGGTCATACTGTGGAACATTCAAGGCAACACTATAATATTAGATAAGCACGGCGTGGGACGCTCCACCATAAGATACACAATGCAAGTTTAAGTGTGAGCAGAATATAAATATTACATTATACTGAACATAAGCCGTTTAAAGCACAAATAATCAGTGTTAGCAATACGCAGTAAGCTAAAACATGGTGCCATTATAAAAAGTGATATGAGACCAGGAGCTTTCACAGTGTCTATAAAAGCACATTTCCCCCAGCTCTTTGTTCCAGATGTGCAGCCCGATGTAGCCTGGACAAAGTCACTGTTTAATGGAGTGCATCGTTCATTATGTTTATGAGGAAACCAGATTGAGAATAATGGTACACAGAGCTCTCTTTATCCATATCCAGTGCCACCACACACAGTATCATTTTCTACTGTAGATGTATATGTGGCCCACTCTGTAACATGAGATCTGTTATTTCATTGATTTCCACATATTTCTGTTTTTCTGTGTTATCAGGAAGGACTGGACTCCATTTAGCAACTTGTATTCCTTCCAGATCAATGGTTCTCAATTTTTCCTACACCAAGAATTATCCAAGATAATATTTAGCTTTCTGAGTACCACCTGAACTGTCAGGCCTGAATTATTATGAAAATTAAACAGGTCTAAAATGAAACCATGGATAAGTATAGTTCTAAAAATGACATAAAGACTATAATATTCCTTTGATTTATTTGTAAAACAATTAAGATAATCCTTTGTTGTCTCCCATGGGAGAAATTCATCTTGGGACAGGGGACACGCTTTATTAAAAAACAGGACAACACAACAACAAAAGCACCGTACAAACATTCACCTAAGAACATGAATAAAAGACCAAGTATGACCACGAGTGATGTGCAGACAGGACCTTTGAGTCACTCTATACAGGCAAGTTCTTTGTAATCTTGTTTTCAATTAGTAACTGCACACTCCCTAAGAATATGTGCAGTTTTGATTGCACATTCCCTTGTCCGATGTGCAGTTTTGATTGCACATTCCCCTAACCTATGCACAGTTTTGATTGCACTTTCCCTTGTCCGATGTGCAGTTTTGATTCTACATTCCCTAAGGCTTTTACTTTTACTTTTTACTTGCACTATCTGAGTTTAGCAGATTAACAACTAATGGCATAAAAGAATATTTGAATCTGTTCAATTTACAGTTTTGGACCCTGAACCTTCTGCCTAATGGCATCAACTCAGACTGACTGTGAAGAACATGGATTGGGTCACTCGCACCTTCCTGCCTAGCTTCCTAACAGTCTCCTCAAAAATTTGCTGAAGTAAGCTAGGGGCCACATCCATTATTTTACCTGCTCTTTTAGTCACGGTAAAAATCTGTGATTTAAGTTTGACTGACAGGTTACCAAACCATTTTGACATGCTATAATGTAAAACTAAGAATTCATCCTCCAACCTTTTTTTTTTAATTTTGCACAATCTAAAGTTGTCTAATGGCTAAAATAGTATAAAAGCATGTATTATATCTAATCTCCCACAAAGCTGGCCTTGTCGAACTACACATTCTATGGTCACAATGTAAAAATAACTAAATTGGCTGTATTGAAATTCTGGCTTTTAGTTCATAGTTCAAATGTTGTCAGATTAGTTCGGCTTTAAAAATAGCACATTCTTTTACTGGATATTTGCTCTTTTCAGGTGGCCCAGTTTTGCATGACTAAAATGTCTATGGCCTCTTCCACAGTAGTTTAAACTCCAGTATCTCCGGCTCTTGTCACTTTTCATTTCTCCACTGTCGCTGTGAATGTCATTGCACATCTTCAGAGCTCCTGCCGTCTCTGCCAGACCTCACCTGCTTTTTGGCACCCTGAAAATCTGTGTGTGGGCGCTGTAACACAGAGGGCGGACTGGAGCTGGAACTGTTTCACATAGAGTTGATAGAGAGTTGTTAAAACAAGGAAGAAATATACAGTGCCTTATTTTGAGCATTTGTGGTGTTGGCTAATGCAGTGGTTCTCTATCTGTGGTAGAAGTGACACTATAGGTTTGTACAAGATATGCATTTTTTGTAGTAATCGGGGGTCTTACAGGGGTCTTGTTTCATTTAAATACATTTTAGTTCAACAGATCAGGCCTACGTTGTGGCCTGCTTGAATCCATGAAAATGTTATTGCTGAAAGTCTAGAATGTTCCACAGTATGGCATTATGGAATGTGTCTTGTTTATAAAATGTTCTATAAAAATAAACTTGGATTGGAACTGCATTTGTTCAATTACAATTGTTTTTACTGCTCAAAAATACCTGGAAAACCCTGTATTGTGCTTGTCTCTGTG